CTGCTCTGTTCCCATTTAACAGGGCAAAGTCAGATAGTAGACTCAAGCACTTGGACCAACCATCCTACTGGCAAAGGACTTGAAGCGTCTCAAGTTCATGAAGGAATGGGTAGTAGACTCTTCCTCTAGCAGTTCAGCATACTGGTTAAGCAGCCACCTTTACAGACAAACAGACCTGAGTTCAAATCCTCGTTCTGACTTCCTAGTTGTGAGAACTTAGGCAAGTTACTTAATTTTTCTAAACTTCAGTATCTTTGTGGAGATAACCACCCTGTTATTAACCTTCCCCATAGTTAATGCAAGGATTATATGAAACTGTATCTCAAGGTGCTCAGCACAGGGCCTGCCACTTAGTAAGTGCATTGGAAATGAAAGCTGTCTTATTATCTCTGCTGTTGTCTTACAAATGCAGCATGCACAGCAGCCAGCAACCACTTGGGCCCAATTATTTACTATCCCTGGGGGACAGAACCTCCCTTTGCCCTGGCAGAAGACGAGAACCAATAATTCCAAACAGACCATTTATTTTCTAAGAATCAATATATTTTCTTCCTTTGAAATAAATACAAACCAGTTTGAAAGGTGGGGGGAATCTATGGGAAGAAGGGAAGTGGGGACAGGCCCCAATCTTTTTAGTACCAAATGACTCTGGCGCGACCCGGAAACGCAGTTACAAATGAGAATAATTTAAATTCTCCGCTAATTACAGTATTTACAACAGCAGGGGAGGGGGTCACCTAGTGCCCCTCTTCCGGGCTGGACAGACATCAATCCCACTGCTAGGCTGGGCAGATGCCCGTTCACCTCACCACCTGCAGAGGCCTCAGGCCACTAGGCAGTTATGGATTCTCCTGGCATAAGCAGGCAGGGGTGGTGGGATGGCCTGTTTTATGCAGTGTCCTAACCGTGGCCCACCACCCTGCACTACAATGCTGAGGTCTCTGGAGATTTCTGGCCTGTGAGACCTCCCCTCTCCTTGTACAGAGCCACTATGGCCCTTGGAGTGTTCTGTACAGTCCAGCTGCACTCAGGGCAGGAGGGACCTCCCCCACCCAGCTTCCCCTGAGACTGGCCCCAAGACCAGGAATGAGTCAGTGCAGAGGCCGGTGCCACTCCAGGACAGTGAGCAAAGGGGAGGAGAGAGGCAGCAGGGCACTGTAGGTTGGGTTATGCTGGGTAGTATCAGTCACTATCACTGGTCTCACTACTCTGCTCGCCCTGAACCTTGCTGCGGTGCTGCAGAGCCCTGTGGTAGGCGATCTGCACTGACTTGCGGATGTTAGACTTGCGGCCCTCCAGCATCTTCTCTTTGTCAAGGTCCTGGTTCACGCCCAGAGGAACCAGCTTAGTTCTGGGCAGCCACTGCCTGTAGGATGAGGTGAAGAACAAATAAGTCATCTCTGGGAGAGCAATAAACATCAGCCTCCCTCATTCCTTCTTTCATTCAAAAACATCTGAGGGCCAAGTTCTGGTGGGCAATGGGGTTAGAGATCAAGAAATAAAGTTCCTCCTTCAAGGAACTGCTCAAAGTCTAGTGATGAAAAGCCCAGTCAACAGTCACACTGAGGAGTTAATCATGGGGTATTACTTATATATACAAAAAGGAGAAGCTCTGACCTAACCTGAAACAGGTATCCCGTCCCACAGGGTCCAAGCAGACTTTACTGATATTAAATATCCTCTGCAGACAATTAACAAAAAGACTACATACGTAAATGTGACAGAACAAGGATTCAAGCCTGAATGGTTTATGCCTGCTTTATCCCCATCTTGTCACCATGGAGGCAGAGGTAGGAAAACTAAGCCTAGAAGTCACCTTAGTCTGGGCGGGGAGCCATTCCTATAATTCTCACAGTCACTGATGGTCCTTTGTTTTTTAGCCACAGCTGTTTGTCAGCTGCTGCCCATTCAGTTGCTCAGACTCATGGTAAACACAACCCTTTTACTCAAAGGTCAGTCCTTCCCTCACTGATTTGTCATACCCTAGTCTGTCTGTTGCTGGAGTTTCCTGGCAGCCTGGCCCCATACTCAGGGTTGCATCTGTGGCTATAAGTCACCAAATGTTTCCCTCCTCCCTTACCAGGTTCGCTTGTTGTCGAAGAAGAGAACGAGGTAGAGATGCTCTCGGGCTTCTTGGGTCATCTGCTCTCCAAGTTTCAGCACCTCCAGTGGGGGCACAGGAATGGGAACCCCATGGTGGAACATACCTTCCCGGGGCATCTTTGGATCAATGATCTGAGGGTGTAATAAGACCTTGGTTTGGTTCAGACTCCTTCTTCCCCAAGACTTACCCTACCCAAGAATTTGGACACTACTTCTGAGGTAGGAACAGAGAAAAGTTATTATGCTACTAGGGCTGCTGACCCTAGTATTATGCTACTATTATGCTGACCTTTGGCTTTTTCCTATGCTGAACTACTTCAGAGGCCAAGGGGCAAAGGGAAAGAAGGAGAGAGATGGAAAAACTAAATGGGGACTTCTAAGTGTCTACCTGCCAAAGACCTGTGCTCTGCAGCTCAGCAAAATAGGAAGTCTGCTAATTTTGAGTCTGCATACTGGGGATGACAGGCAAGGGGTATGATAAGAAAAGCAGAAGCCTACCAGAGCTGGGTATGATGGATACCCTCGGCATTTGGCCCACACCAGATCCAGAGCATCCAGCGGGGAGTCCTCATCCTCCGACAGCCAGCCAGCTCCCCGGCCCAGACTCTTCCTTACCACTTCATAGGAATGGGAGAGAGGGGGCAGATCAGCAGCCACGGGGCTGGTGAGGCCTGGACACTGGGCCCCCGGCATCCCTGGTCTTGGGTGAGAGTACTTACTGCTGTGGCCCACGCCGCGGCCAGTGCCCACGGAGTAGGCCTCGTTCTCAGTGCCTGAGGTATCTTCACTGCTGTCTTCTGGAAATGTGCCCCGAGAGAAGGAGGGCTTTCCCCTGCCTTGTTTTGAGGGTGTTGTGCTGTGGACAAGGAAAGTTTATCTCAAAGGTGGGGAAGAGGAGAATGGCATGGTAGGTGTTCTCTCTTCTTTAAGCCCCCAGAGTCTAATAAGAGTTTTGGAAAGCAGAGGCTACTTGAAGAATTTCAAATTCAAAAGCCCTCACAGGCTTGGCAGTGGTTTAACTGATGTAGGCTGGATTTAGCAGTGGTAGTGATGAGAGTGCATGCCTTGTCTAAAGGCAATGCTGGCCAGATTTTTGCCCGATCTTATTTTTAAAAATACAGAAACTGGAAATGTTATGTGGCACTTCTGGATTTTTTTAAAAACCATGCTGGCCAAACAAAATATGCAGGCCAAATCTAGGCCACAAGGCATTAGTTTACATCCTCTGTTCTAAAACATCACCTGAACCCAGCATGGTTCTCTTCATTTCATTATAGTGACATTCTCATCTATTCTATTTATTTTGCAGAAAACCTTGGATTTGAGCCACCTGAATGTAGGCTGAGATGGCTGCCACCCCACCTCCCATAGGGAAACCTGGAAGGGCATCCCAGAGGCGGTCCTTGATCTGGAGGGCCGGTACCTGGTCCGGTCTGAGGCAGCGCTGCTGCTGCTACTGCTGCTGGACTCAGAGTCTGAGCTGCTCCGGGGAAGGCTGCAGTCATTACGGTATACCAAGAAACTCTTCTTCACTGGCTGGTTTCCACTGCTGAAGCCATTAGCTGGTAAGTCTTGTTTGGGTGAGGGGAGGGGGAGGAGGGAAGGAATCGGTCAGAAAGATATAGATCAGAGATGGCATGGGGGTAAGAGGTACTCAGAGCTTGGCTTCCCCTTCTGTGCTGGAAAATTCCTCCAACTTTGGCCAGCAGAGCTAGCTCTGGGCAGTGTCCACCACAGTTAGCCACAGCCCTGCTCCACCCCTTGTACTTCCCTTGGCAGTTACAGGCCTTAGGACACAAATGACTTAAAGGGCAGGAGATCCCCAAGGAAGATGAGAAGAGAAAAAGTGAAGTGATACAATGGAGGGGGCCCTAGATGGGAATCTAGCTGGATCAGTGTCTTTGGGCTTCAGTTTCCCAGTCTGTAAAATGAGGGGATTGAATTAAAGGATTCCTAAGGGCCCTTCTAGCTCTGACATATTATGGGCAAATGAAGGGATAGGTGAAAGTTATGTTGGAAAGGATGACAGCTTTGCTCACTCTCTTGGGGGGCTGGGTGATGGTGAGGCTCACCCATTGGGGGGTCTTCTGTGGATTTATCACTGTCGCTGTCTGAGCTCGAACTGGGCCGGGGGCTCCTACCCCTCTTGCGCTGACGCAGAGAGCCCATGATGGGGAGCTGGGGGGGCCCCACAGGACTGCCTCCGTGGCTGGGGGTCATCTGGCTCTCCCGGTTTTTGGGGGGCCGGCCCGGCCTCTTGGGCGGTCCAGCTGTCTTCGGGTTCTTTTTGGAGAACAGAACTGAGGTTCTCCTGCCCACCTCATGTGCGGGGGTTGAGGACATGTTGGGACCCAGGCCTGGAGCAGAGAAAGAGAGAAGGAGAGTTGGTGAGGGGCCTGATGTGGGAAGGGTAGATGTCCAGGGTATGCCCTGGGTGTATAGGACTATTAATCCAGCTAGAATTGGGGAGATGATTTGGGGGTCATGGAATTGGGAATATTGTCTCATAATAGCTAGTGGGGCAGCTAAGAGGCCCCTGATTGGGGAATGAGGGAGAAAGTACAGGTAGCTGTGCAGGAGAGACCTCTGCCTGGGGGATGGCAGAGGCTGAGTGTGTGCTGCAGAAGTCAGTCTGGCTTGCTTCAGATTTCAGACCTTTGCTTGTCTCCTGGCTGCTGCTCTCCTCCGCGGCACTGTCTGTCTGCCCATCCTTGTCACAGGCTGCCGGGTGGGGTGTCAGGCTGCCCCGG